TTAAAGTAACCAAAAATGACGCAACAATTATGATAGACGAATTCAGGGATCCCAATGGTCCTATGAGAAGATATTTCCGGCAAGGTGATGTTTTTATACTAGACCGAGGCGTCAGGGATGCAGTGCCACAATTATTAGAGTATGGCTATAAAGTTCACATTCCTGAGTCTTTGACTGATGGGGAACATCAATTAACAACTCTGTAGGCCAATAAGTCAAGATGTATAACCATGTGCAGGTGGGTGGTTGAAGTGATAAGCGGACGCATAAAACGCGACTTTAAGCTTTTTAGGCAAGAGTTTTTTAATAAAGTAGCTACCCACCTGATGTCTGATTTTAGAAATGCATGTGCATTGACAAATAAGTTCCACCCAGTTATAGAAGATATACCTGAAGTATAGGAATATTTAAGAATTTCTAGGCAAAAACTTCACCTTGTCAATGTTTTAGGTCATACTGTCCAAGGGAAAACTTAAACAGGCGTCGAGCAACATCGTGACTATTGATGCTAACCACCCACATTTAAACCAGTTCCCGAGACTGACAATATCAGACCTAAAACATATTGCATTGGGAACATATCAGCTCAAGCAAGCTCGTTCTTACTATAGTGAGCATGTGCGAGCAAATGGCACCTACACAGTAGAGGTTAATAATAAAATTGAAGACGATCTGCCTCTTAGTTTAGGTAGTAATAATTATTTACTAAGAGGCAGAATAAAGTCTAGACATATTAACAGCAGGACTTATTACACCTATTTATTACTGAGTAAAGATGACAATGTTGCCAGTACTGTGGAGACTGTTTTAGGTTATTGCTGCAGCTGTCTCGTGGGAAATATGACGGTGGGATGTTGCGCCCTTGTCATGTCAGTGCTTTGTTATGTAGGTTGGGGTAGATATAATGATTTAACCCTTTGACGTAAAAGGGACACCACTGTCCCTTAAATATAATTTGTGTTTATTTCTGAACAAAGCATTATTCGGACCTAATTTAAACGCATGCTTATTGTTTCCGAACGTTTTTTGTTTTTTTTCTGTGGTTGGTAGCTCTGCGCGCGAAAAAATAAAACAAAAACGTCACATTACTTTTGAGTAGTTTGCCGCACTTCTGTGACTTTTTTCTGAAGTAATAAAAATACATTTTTGCTGCATTCAGTGACTGTTTAGTGAATAATTTATAAGAATGGTAAGTATTAATTATGTTTGTATTAGTAGTTATCGTAATTAGTAACATTTTAGTTACTAAAATATGAAATTATAAGTAGGGGACGCCATTGTCCCAATATGCGTAAAAGGCCAATTTTATTAATATTTTACCCTAACGTTTTATGCATGTTCTGTGATTGTACATACGGTCTAAACACTCGATTTATTTGTTTTAGGCACGCAAAGGAAATAGGATTTTCCGTTTGACTGATTGCGAAGTCGAGGAATATCTTATGGCTGAAACTAGTGACACTGAAGATGCACTCACTTTAGATGACGAAGACCACTCATTTTTATTAGAGGACATGCAAGCTGGATTTTCTGAAGCTATAATTGAGCCACCTGGTTCATTAGGATCTACTCAAAATCCAGGTCTGTCTTCAGACTCATCATCTACTATCCCCTTTTATTCATCAGGTGATCCGATTCCCGAGTTCAAGTGGAAAAATAATATCTATCGCTCGTATATTTTTTCTGACACTGATTATGAATTTGGTAAGGTAAACATTTCTCAAGAAATACAGTCTTTGAAACCTATTGATATATTTGAGACAGTTACAAACATTAAATTATTGATTGAGGAATTAATAATACCAGAGTCTTTACGTTATGCTCATCAAAACGGTTCGGTGTTCACTACCGATATCCAAGAAATAACAGCTTTTATTGGCATGAATTATGTCATGGGCTACCATGTATTACCCACAATACGAAGCTACTGGTCCACAGAACCTGACATGGGTGTGCCTTTTATAGCTAGAGTAATGCCTTTATCACGATTTGAAGAAATTAGAAGAAACTTGCACTTCTGTGACAATGCATCCCAACCATCTCCGACATCGTCATTATTTGATAGAGCCTACAAAATAAGATTAGTAATGAACCATTTCAATTCAAGTTTCCAATCAGCAATGAATAACACAAAAACGCAAGCAATTGATGAACATATGGTAAAGTTCAAAGGTCACAATATCATGCGACAGTACATGCAAAATAAACCAATAAAAAGAGGATTTAAAATGTGGTGTCGTGCCGATTCGAGTACCGGATATTTATTCCAGTTCGATTTATATACTGGAAAAAAGAACGCAGGACCCGAAATAGGACTGGGAGAATCCGTTGTCCTTGATCTTACACAAGCTTTGGTGGGTCTTGGATGTGAAATATATTTCGACAATTTTTTTAACTCTCCCATGCTGCAATATAAACTTGCTAAACAAAATTTAAAGGCATGTGGCACTGTTCGAACACAGCGTAAAAATAATCCTAAAAACTTGCCTTTAGATAAAGAGATGAAGAGAGGCGATATCTACGCTACTAGCTTCGAAGGAATTTCTTTTATCAAGTGGATGGATAATAAAGCTGTGCATCTCCTCACCAACTTTTTGTCACCGGTACCTACTCTAAAAGTCAAACGTAAACAAGTAGGACCAGCACAATGTCTAGAGATCACATGTCCTGACATCGTCCATAAATACAACAAAAATATGGGTGGACTAGATCTCATGGACCAAAAGAAGGTCACATACGAAGTTGATAGGAAATCCAAAATCAAATATTATCTGCGGCTTTTCTTTGATTTATTGGACATCGCCATGAACAATTCCTACATTGTTTATGAAAAACTGCATGCACAACATCGCATAGAAGGGCATTTGCTCTCATCACTTGAATACCAACAAGTTGTGGCTAGGGCTATGATTGGCAATTTTTCTATCCGTAAACATGCCTTGCCATCCACTTCCATGACCAAAAAGCGGATACAAAATATAGGACACAAACAGTCTTTACCTTCACACGTAATGATGAAGGGGCCTTCGCGTAAACGATGTGTGCAATGTGCGAAGAGTGGAATTGAAAATCGTACCAGCAATATATGTGACATTTGTAATGTAAATCTGTGTTTCACAGCAACAAGAAATTGTTTTGTTGGGTTCCATTCATAAAATGTTTAATTAAATTGTTATTCTTTTACTGAATTTTGTTTTTTATTATCAGAAAAAACTTGATTTTGCTGTAATAGTTAGCACCTCAGAAAATTATAAATAATGCCCTTTGTCGCATATTGGGACACATTTGTCCCAAGTAATTTCCTAAAATCTATAATATTTTTTTTATTTTTCATCCTGCACATACTTAAATTACCTTTTAAAAGACTAAATAACGTAGTCATAAATATAAAAACGTATGTGTACTTATTTTGTGCGTCAAAGGGTTATCTGCCCCAGCTCAATTCCTAGACGATATTTTTGATGAATACACATACGAAAATGAATAACTCCCTTTTCTCCTAAATTCTTCTAAACTAAATTTCTCGTTTTTTTGTAAAACAGCAGAATCACTATATATATAAATATGATACTCAGTAATTGCACTGGCTGGCTTAATTAGAAGACTTAATTTATTAGAAGACAAAGTCAAAACATACAAACCGGTTTCAATAACATTACCTATTACTTGATGAACTTCAGCAGCTTATTTCACATGAATCCGTCGAATTAGAGTAATTATTTTTTTTTGTAATTGAATCTATGGCCAAAACCCTACAAAACGATGTAGGTTTTATCATGGCACAAAAAAAAATTTGACACGAAACTCCATACACCATTGCCATTCTCCTTTATTTGAATCAAATGTTTTGAAAACAGACTTTTGCTTGATAAATTATCAATGAGTTATCATTGACAATCTATCAAGCAAAAAGATCAAAATATGTGTAATTATTATTACTAAGGACGTTACATGATGTCATTCAAATAGACGAAAGTACGATCAAGAAAAACCAGAGAGTATTGTATTTTACAATTCGTCGAAATATGATGTTGACGTTGTCGATCAATTGGCCAGACAATATAGCGTCAAAGCAGCTTCGCGAATATGGCCAGTATAAGTTTTTTAGTATATATTTGACTTAGCTGCTATAAATGCTACGATATTGCATCAAGTGGTGACAAAAAATAAGGTGCGTAGACGGGACTTCATACTCCAGCTAACTTAAGAGCTCAGTGACATGTCGGATAAATCCTCCACAACCCCAATACAACCATTAAGGCAGCCTTCATGTCGAAGGTATGTGGAAAAGGCGTCATTGTTGTACCGCAAGCTGTAAGAATAAAAATAAAATAAACTATTCGATACCTGCAAAAAACCACTATGTGGACATTGCAATCAATGAAAAATATTTATTTGTCAAAATTGTGTCCCTTTATTGTCCGTGTTACTACCATTCTTACTACCAGTAGTAATACCGGTAAAGCGTTTACCCGTCTACTACTGTAGTTGAAAGTTGTTAGAACAGCAATAAAATATTGCTCGTGTTACTACCGTTTAATTTTAATTACAATTACAAACAAAATATAGGGAATTTAATTTTTTAACAAAATACAACTACATACATCAAAAGTGCCTAGGGATCAAGAGTTTTTTTTTACTTAAAAATAATATCTTGTTAATCAATATTAAATCTTAATTAACATGAAACCACACAAAACAACAGGAAAATCATCGTAATTTATCAAGAGCGTGGCCTACAGAGATTTCACTGTTCAATAATTGAAGCATTGCCAAAATTATTACCCAAAGCTTGTTTTGATGTTATTACATTAAAAGATGCACAGCACCATCTAGTTTCGTATACCAAAAACTCGTTTCGGTTGGCCGCTCCTAGATGGCGGGGGAATCATTGATTTCGAAGGTGGCGCTACGCCCTTGTTGCATAGATAACAAAAGTGCGTTTAAATTCGAACACGTTACGACCTGTATGTAGTTTATAAAAACTTATTAATGTAAAAATGAGTGAAACGAGTGATTTAAGTGACTTTAGATCAGATGATGACCAGAGTGAATATGAGCCCCCACCCCCCCCAAGAAAACGAAAAAAGAAGTTAAAGAATGAAAACTTGTGGAAAAAAAATGTGCGAAAGTTAAAGAGAAGTTTGGGTGAAGAATACACATCAGCTCGAGGAAAGAAGGTATCTAAAAAGGTTTTTAAACATGTCACCACGTGTTGTTCCAAAAAATGTTGTATTAAGCTCGATCAAAATGCACAGAGAAGACTTTTTTGTGACTTTTGGAATATAGGTGATAAAGCTCACCAAGATTCCCTCTTATTGTCGTGTTTAGAAAAAGTGTCAAAGTTGAGAGAGAATGTTGGGCCTGGCAAGTTGAAACGAGATAATCAATGGAAATACTTTTTAACTGTAGATGGTTTAAAGATAAATATTTGCAGAAAATTATTACTGTCGCTACTGAAAATATCGGAAAACGGTTAAGAATAGTCCAAAAAACTAAATTGTCAGGAGAACCAGTCCGTGACATGAGAGGAAAACATGACAATCGTCCCAACAAAATTGGTCAGGACGTCTATAATATGATAAAGACACTGGGCTTTATTTCCTAGCAAGAAATTACACTATGGTCAAACCAGTGAAAGGAGATATTTCGAAAATCCAGATTTATCAGTTTTGAAACTATACAGAGCCTTTCAGCAGTATTATTTCGAGCAAAAGAATACAGTTTTAATAATTATCACAGATATTTTCGTGAAAACAGTATCTACTTGTTTAGACAACCTAGAACAGGGGCCTTTCTCTTGACGGGTTCAAGTTACGATCAAAATCGAATCGAAGTCGAGAATCAGTGATTTGGTACTCTGGAAATCGATTGTAGCGCCAATCTACAATCGATTTCCAGAGTACCAAATCGAATACCGCCTTCGTCCTTACTACCGACGCTATCGAGATCGAGTTAACCTCACATTGAAATCGAAAACATATGTCAAATCTCTCGATTCGCAGGACGGTTCTTTTATACGATCGAAAGTGTGATTTATAAATTAATAACAATAGTAAATAGGTTAGTTTCTTTAGTGAAATTACTATGAGATCCAATAATCTTTCCTCGTGAGTGAAAGTGCATGAAATATTTAAATTTTTCTTAGTTTACCAATTCTGTGTTTGTGCTAGGATGGCACGGCTTGCGGCACAATTTAATTTATTGGAAGAAGCCCACAAAGTTGACAGACATCAAAGAAGATGTATAAGACAAATAGCTCTATACAGTGCAGCAGCCACAGAAATTAGCGACGAAGAATTTGTGGCAAATTACCGTATAAATAAAGAAATTTTTTTCGAACTTCTGGAGGTGCTTTTCCCATTTTTAAAAGCACCATCACGTAGAAGTGATATTCCTTTAAAATTTAAGGTGAGTTTTGGTTGTATTGACATAATTCATTTAAATTTTTGTGATAGTATTTAGTTAGTAATCCTAATAATTACCTAATACCTACTTACTACTTATCTTTTCACTATTAAATTGAATTGAACTTTTTACATTTTATTCTATTTGTTTCAGATATTGGTTGCTCTCTATTTTTATGCAATAGGGAGCTATCAACGTCTCGTTGGAAGATCCCATGGTACTGCCATGTCCCAGCAGTCAGTGTCAAAATGCATCAGAGAGGTGACCAATGCATTAAACCAACCAAATATACTCCAAGAATATATTAAGTTCCCAAGTAATGCTGATCAACGTAACAAGATAAAGAGAAAGTAAATACATAACTTAATAAATAGATATTATTTAAACAACCAAAAACACAGAATTGATACAGAAATATTACATATTTTATAAATAAAGTGTTTTAATTTTAGATTCTATGAGAAATATGGAATACCTGGTGTGATAGGTTGCATAGACGGAACTCATGTAGCCATGGTGAGACCAACAGAGAATGAGGATTGGTATTTCAACCGCAAACATTACCATTCCAGAAACGTGCAAATAGTACGTATATTGACTAATAAATTAAGTAATTCATGAACTTTTTAAAAGCTCTTATAAGTTATTATTATTTGTAGGACTTAAATATCTCAATTTGTTTCAGATATGTGATTTTGATTTAATTATCATTAGTGTAGATGCATGCTTTGGTGGTGCTACCCATGATTCACACATCTTCAACCAACATGCTGTCAAAAATCACTTAATGAATCAAGGGGAGACAGTGTGTTTGTTAGGTAAGTGTTCATTTAAAATAAAAATTGTTTATTTATTGGAAAATGTTGAAGAATAAGTGAAGGTTATCAATGCCTAAACATTTTTTTATATGTTTGTTGAAACTGAACTTAAATAATTACATTTTGTTTTTAATTTCAGATGACTCAGGATACGCCCAAAGAGAATATATGATGACTCCGATAGTCAATGCCACAGTTGGCTCTGCAGAGGAATTGTATACGGAGATACACTGTTCAGCACGTAACCGAGTGGAAAGAACTATAGGGTTGCTGAAAGCGCGATGGAGGTGTTTACTCAAGCATAGGGTGCTTCATTATAAACCCGATATGGTTTCTAAAATCATTTACGCATGCTGCGTGCTACATAACATGTGCAACACTGCACGTGTCCCAGAGCCCAGTGACGTGTACCAAGTGGTGACGGAAGGCGCTGCGCTAGAGCCGGAAGAGCTTGCGCCCGCGCCACCACACACCCGAACCACCGCGCCCGGGCACGGCGCTAGTGTCACGTTAGAACTGCGAAGAGGGGTCGAAGCGCGCCAACTTATCGTTAATATGTTGTGGGCGAAGAGAAATAGAAATCAGTAAATTGTAAAGTAAAAAAGTCTTACTGATGATAAAACATTGGTTAGTTTTGATGTTCAATCCCTATTAACTTGTCTACTGGTGAAGGATTGTGTTGACATCACCAAGAAGAGACTTTAATGCCAGTGGAATATGAAGAATTACTGGTACATTAACTTTAACAGAGATGATGGTTGGAGGGTTCCACCAGCTTGGAAACCTATGTGTCAAATGAAATCCATTTTTAAGTTCTTTTTGTAAATAAGTAAGATGGAGGTCGTCCACCCTCCCGAGTTTTCTTTCGCCAGTTCTTTTTTGGAAGGGCCTCCCAACCTTGTGAACTGGTGGTAGCTTCAATAGTTTTCCAGAAGCTTAGGTTCGTCATATGTGTAATGGAACGTGTCCAAAAATATTATTATTTAAATGTAATCATTAAAGGTAATAATTGTAAATAATTATTGAAAACGATGTCCAGAAGGATATCAAAACATCTAAGATATAAAATTAAATACTGCGAGTTAACCTGTTAAAAGTTGTTTTATTTTAATATATAGCTCACAAGAAACTATAAGAAGTAAATAAATTTTAGAGTACATTATAAATTAATTTTATTTATAATTTTTAACTATTGCATAAAATTCAGTACCTTAAACTCTACTTGTAACATTTAAAAGTATGGCACAGATAACAGTCTTAGTTTAAATTTTTGGTTTAATAATAATAATCCTTTTTATTGCACACACACACAAGGAAAAGAAATGCATAGAAAGACAAAAAAAAGTTACAATAGGCAGCCTTATTGCTAAAAAACAATATTTTCTGAAATTTTGTGTCTATAAATAAACTACTCTTAATTTATACATTTGTTTGCTAATAAATCGCCAACCCATAACGCCCTTGTGTCCACCTAACTGTTAGGTAATTGTTAGAAAATAGAAAAAATTGACTGTCCTCGAAGAAATGTTTAACGGATCGCCATTTTAGTTCGATCTCGACTCGATTATGATTTCGATTCGATTGAGATTGAGAGTACCGTTTAGAATCGAGTTCAAATTTTGTCGAGATCGAATCGAGATCGAACTTCGAGTTCAAATCAAATTCAAGAGTAAGCTTGCAGATGTCTGTGACTACTGTACAAAATCCAAAGTTCTATTGGAAACTAACCCTGATGATCCATATAAGATTCAATACATGCTGCATTTGAAAAAAATAGAATCATATAATGTGCTCAAAAAAAAAAGCTTTTGGAGTCAGTTCAGAATAATACTGACACAGAAACACATGTATTGGAGTTTGATTATGCTCAAAATTTGCCCATACCAAAACTTAACATAAATTCACAATTTTACAAAAAAATATTATGGCTTTTTAACTACAACATTCACTGTCATAACGATGGATCAAGTTCCTTTTATTTTTTTCTAGAAATTGATTCCAAAAAGGGGCCCAACGCTGTCTGTTCTTTCATATAGTATTTTTCTCTGATGCTTGTGGAGGCCAAAATAAAAATATAACAATGGTAATGTTCTCCACATGGTTGGTAAAAAGCTTAAAAATGCCAATTGAACATATATTTCCAGTAAGAGGCCACTCTTATAACCAATGAAACAGAAACTTCGGAAGATATGGCATATTGCTAAAATCCTTGGAAACTATTGAGTCAGCTGAACAATATTTAAAAGTGATGTCATCAGCAAGAAGCAATCCTAGCCCTTTCAATGTATTGATGGCTAGCTACCTTATTGAAGATTGGAATAAAGGTTTACAGGTCTTTTTGTCTAAGACACCCACAGCCACAGGAAAAAATAAAACTCGGATTGCTATACAGCAATATGTTAAACTAGAGTTTAGTCCTGAAGGAGTGTTAACGACCTCAAGATTTTATGCATCTCCGGATCTAACCTATACATTTAAGAAGAATGTTTTGCCAGTAAGCAAACATGATTTGAATTTGCAGAAAGTAGAAAAAGCTGGAGTAAAAGACGAAAAGATTAGGGACGTTTTATCCTTGACACCTTTCATGAAACCAGAAAATGCTGAGTGGTTGAAACAGGTCCTGACCTTCCAGGCAGGCCTGGAGGATCAGGCTGGACCGTCCAGGAGGCCAGTTGCAGCTGATTCGGAAGATTCCCGTCAGTCTAGTGAATATTTTGATGAATCTGATTAAAAAGACGAAAGTTAGAGGTTGATATTAATGCATACCTTACATGACTGTTATTATTGTTGAATATTTAAACGATGATTGTAATAAATACACATGTTTTATTTACATTTTAATTAAAAGTAATTACATAAGTATTCAAATTGTTATTTATTTTCCTTAAAAACCAATAATAAAATTAACGTCCTATCTTACGTTTACCAGTTGGGTGCAACAAGGGCGGATAATACAAGTAAAAAAACTTAGTTTTCAGATGTTTCTAATTGCTTTAAAATAATAATGATACCAGATTTTTTTTGCTAAATCATGGGACTAATAAATAGTAAAGTAGATTTAAGTCAAATTATAAGTATTAAAATAATATAAGATATTAAAATTTTCAATATCAATTTTCTCGAAACTCTATTTTACAAGATACGCACTTGTTGCACCCAATGCTTCAATTGCATCTGAATGTGTCTGATATTGTCGTCGTTTATAATATCACGATTTCTCCGTTTCCTAAATTGCTGAGTAACAATTTTAACTA